CTTCTAAGCACTTTCTCCGCATCTATGGGAAATACCAAAAGACATCATTGGTCCTAGCCTTCTAAGAATATAGATATATATTCTAAATTAGCACCAAGTATTTTTTTAACGGTTTATAAAACAAAGCCTGGCTGCACCTAAGTGATCACAAAACATTATTTTTCTATTGTTATTTCTTGAATACAACACTGAATTTTTTAATTTTCTGAAAAAGTTACCCATTTTTTAAAAATGGTCAGGACAGTGAGACTTTTGTTTTGCTCCTAATCCAGCCTAACACCTCTATATGTAATTGTTCTGCTTTACAATTCAGATATTTCTGAAATATGTTATTTTGTATAAACCCTGTTTTGACTTTGAAGGCATGTCAGGGTCAGTAATGTTAATTTAGTATATTGTTCAGTGATGAAACAGTCGCAATTTGTCCTGACACTCCATGAGATAATGTTAAGTGAATTATTTAGTGTTAAGTGACAAACCCTGTTAAATTATTTTAAACTATTCAAGGTTAATTAAGATATTTTAAGATTTAGTTTTTTTTAAATGTTAAATTTTCAGTTCATATATTAACCTTTTTAGTTTGAATCATAAGATGTCTTCTCTTAATTAACCCTTGTAGTAGACTTTTAAAATGTATAATAGGAAGATTAAATCTTTTAATGAACTCCTTATATTAAAAAAAAAAGTCTGTTTTCCTATATCTAAATAAAAGATTAAATGCCTTGCACTGGGCACCGTGACTCATGCCTGTAATCCTAGCACTTTGGGAGGCCAGGGTAAGAAGACTGCCTGAGCTCAGGAGTTTAAGACCAGCCTGGGCAACTTGTTAGGACCTCTTCTCTACACTATATCAAAAAATTAACTGGGTGTGGTGGTGCACGCCTGTAGTTTCAGCTGCTTAGAAGGCTGAGGTGAAAGGATCACCTGAGCCCAGGAGGTTGAGGCTGTGATGGCCATGATTTTGCCATTGCACTTCAGCCTGGACAGCAGAGTGAAGCTGACTCAAACAAAAGAAAAAGAGAAAAAGATTAAGTGCTTTCCATACACAAGTGAGACTAAAAAAAAAAATAAAAATAAAAGATTAAGTGCTTTGAAGATAAAAATGACACTACACTCCATGAATGATGAGATTGGCTTTTAGAATTGTTGAATTAAAACTGAAAGAGAAGTATGCCACATGAACTTGAATCAGGATGCAGTGGCTACAAATAAATTCAAGTGTAAGACTGTGACAAGAATAAGCCACCATTTGTAAAGAAGCACTTTACTAAACAAACGGAAACCCTGAGGAATTTTCCAATTGCAAAGTAATAGGAAGTATCACTTAATATGGAAGAAAGGTGCTAGTCCATGTCTCCCTCCTCGAGTGTCTCATAAGATCAAATCGTGGAGTGACTGAAACAGAGAAGATAATTTAGTGGCAGCCTAACAGATAGATTACCATTTAGAGAGACCGAACGCCTGAGAACTGTTTGCGTTAGGGGACAGGACTAAGGTTAAACACAACAAATAGATGTGTTCCGAAACAGGCTGCCACTTAGTTGTGGGTTTTTGTTTTGTTGTTTTTTGTTTTTCCCAAGGAGTTACACATGTTCAGTTTTCCTGACACTCTATAAACATTCCTATATCTGTCTTTAGTCACTTTTCTTTCTCTAAAGGTTTTCTCTTAATAGCTTTGACATGGCTTAGCTTGGGGAGTCATTTCCACCTCATCTTTTTTCCTCACCTCTCATAAGCACGAGTAGTCTGATCCAGCCACCCTCAAATGCATACCTTGGGGTTAATCTCAGCATGCACTCAGCTGTAAGAATACTACCCTCCCCCTCTCCCCCATGGACCATCAGTGCTGCAGTTAATTATGGTATTTGTTGAACGTTTGTGCTCCACTCCTGCTGTATCCCCATCCTGTATCCCAGCGTCTCGCACAGGTGGGCATCCAGTAAGCACGGTGAGTGATTGCCAGCAAGAGTCTCCTTCCAGAATCTCGTCATGGCACAACTGCAGCCTGAGGCACATGTGGGAGAATGGTAGGGAGAGCCCAAGAGATAGTTGGGGACTAGAGATGCTTAAAGTCATGTGAAGGAACTTGTGCTGCGCCCCAAGAATAGTAAGAGGCCATTGAAGAAGTGTAAGTCCATGTCCATCCAGGATGGACATCCCCATTCTAGACTCTAGCTAGGGATTTCTCGGTCTTAACAAGAAAATTAAATCCATATTCATAGAAAGTATATGTGGCATGTGGAAAGCAAAGTAACACTATAAATATTATTTATAGTTACATATCCAGTAAGTCTAAGTGTCCATAAAGACATTTCCAGAGTACTTTTTTACACTTTATAAAAGAATCATTTTATGTATTTAAAGGATAAGTATGGACTTACAGATAACTAGAATAATTAAAATATTTACAATTTCAAACAGAAATGAGTATATTGAATTTGGGGATCATGGTTAAAAAAACCTATAGTACTTACAGATTGCAAATTGAAAAGGCAATTGATAGATATATCTTTTTAGTAATTTGGTGTTATATACCTAAAAATAAGCAGAAGTCAACAGAATTATTTTCATCCAAGGAATTAAATAAGAGTATTTTCAAAATGGGTACCTTTTCTATTTCAAGTTGTGCTTTTGAAGACATTTTAAATGAAAATTATTTTTAGTTCCTATTTTACTGAACCAAATAATTTAAAATCCCATTCAAATAAAATAATATATAATGTTGTACATATATTATTTTTAAATGACCATCATTTTATGGCTTTCAAGCCAACCTTCTAAGAATGATGGTGTTTCTTCTGTCTTGAAGGAAGCATACTTTCTTTTCTAATTACTAATAAAGGTAATAGATGCTTATTGCAGAACATTTAGAAAACATACAGAACTCTTAAAATGCATTAATTCTGATCTCTTCCTTTCCATACTTCATGTTGTTTCCACTCTTAAAAAACCACCTTCGTGGTGGTTGTTTTTAAGTAGACAGTTTTCTAACATGGTTCTCAGTTTCTTTGCCGTTTGACAGCTGCATCTTAGTGGTTCCTTTTGAGTTCATTTTCCTTCCTACTGAAATAAATTCTTGAGTGGTTTCTCAGTGAGGATCTATAAATAATAAGCAATTATATTTTAGCTGATATGATGGGCAGCTTTCTTAAATATGTTACATTCTTATATTCTGATACCTGCTGATGAGAGTCTAATGGGTACAGTAATACCTTTTGTGTCATTGAAAAGAGTTGCCCTAGAAAGCTGCACTTTTTCCCCCTTAAAATGTTGTTTTAAATTTACTATGCTGATATGTCAAGTGAATTAATCTGATTTTAAAAATAAGCAAATCATTGAGTATGAGTGTTAGGTCACACTTCCAGCTGGGGCTTCCAGAATGTTAGGTCAGACCCGCTGGGGGTGTGGGTATCTGCTGTGCCATCTGGTGCTGCGTGAAAGATGCAAAGAATTGCACATAAGCTAGATTAGAGAGAGAAAGAGGAGATTCACCTTCCCAAGGAGGCCAAAGCCAGGAAACATGGCAACGGCTATAGCTCAAAGAGCACATGGCCAGACCCGAGTCTGGTAAGGCAGTGGCGGCTTGCTGCTGGTGGTTGAATCCTTTTAATCCTTTCCTTTGATGGTGGTAGGTCATTAAGGTGGTTGGGTGGTGGTCTGCTCCACATCATCACAAAGGAACAGGTAAGCGCAGGTACTGACATTAGGTGATGGACAGCAGGCAGATGGGTGGGTTAGTCACAAGATTGCTGCCATGGCGATGGAGTCTGTGTCACAAAGGCCATGAGGGACTGATTAGGTTAACTTGGGTCTTGTGGGTGGAGGCAAATATTTGAAATAGAAAAGCGAATTAGTAACAAGCTGAGGAGGGGGTGGTTAAGCAACTACAGTAGCTACCTCTGAGAAACCAGTTCTGTCCTTGGCTAGTGATTAGATGGTAAGTTAAGTGAACTGCTAGAAAAACATGAGATTTACACAATGTTAAAATGACTGCTCATTGGGTTTATTAAATCTGTGTTATGTCCTTTCAGTGAGTCATGCTGTATTTAATACAAAATAAAATATCCTGATTGCTACTTAAATATCTATGTACTTGTCTAGCATTATGTTGTATAAGGTGCATGGTGACATATATTTATTTTATGGCTCTTTTTTCCAAAAGTGGTATTTTGAGTTATATTTTAATTTAAATGGAGTTCTACAAGTAGTTCCAGAGCAGTGCTGTTCAACAGAAGTTTCTGTGATAGTGGAAATGTTCTGTATCTGTGTGTTCTAATAACTAGCCTCTAGTCACTATACCTTCAGTGCTGGTGAATTCTCTCTTTATTTACCTTTATCTCATCATATGAATCCAAGTTTTGAATTAATAACTCGATTAGTTTTAGACTATGTAATTTAAGATCATTCATTTTTACATGCAGGTTTTTTCCCTCCAAAATTTAAAGTTGATTAACTTCTTGGTTTTAGTGGTTAAGATTTGCATATAAGCCAGGTGCAGTGGCTCACACCTGTAATTCCAGCACTTTGGGAGGCGGAGGCGAAAGGATTACCTGAGGCAATGGGTTCAAGACTAACCTGGGTAACATGGAGAGGCTGTATCTCTACAATAAATCAAAAAATTAGTCGGGCGTGGTGACACATGTCTGTAGTTCTAGCTACTTGGAAAGCTGAAGCGGAAAGATCACCTGAGCCCAGTGGGCTGAAGCTGCAGAAAAAAAAAAAAAAAAAAAGATTTGCCTATAGAAATAGAATATAGGATGAAAAGTACATTGTAGAATTCTGAGATAGTTTGTGTGTTTAGTTTATGGTATTGGTTTCTACATTATAGTCATATAATGGATACATATTTCATATATATTGTATGTTTTTCAAGTATTATATTAAGATTAGTAATCTCCTGAGGTGACCTTTTTATTTATTAAGAAGAATTATAGAAATAACTTGTCAAGTTTTACTCCACTAAACAAGTAAGTGTGTTGATAATGCCTTATATTTTTCAGATTGCAAATAGAAGAATCTTCTAAACCTGTAAGACTATCACAACAACTGGACAAAGTTGTAACAACCAATTACAAACCTGTTGCTAATCATCAATACAATGTAAGTCTTCTACATGTCTCTTTCATGTTGTATCTTTTTCAGTCCAGGTGTGAACTCTTGCAAACTGGCCTTAGGAGCCATCCTCTGAATCACTGTGTATATTTCTGCAAGTCTTTAGCAGTGCTGAAGGACTAAAGGTTTTGGGTTTTGTAATGTAATGAAGAATGTGATTTCCTGAAAATAAAATGCCCAAGTTAAGTCAAGTAGCAATTAACAGTTGAATCTTGTGACTTACTTTATTGCTTAAGATTCCTCTTGATACTGGGTTTGGGAAGAAAATCTTCTTTAAGATTGGCCTTAAGTATCCAGATATATCAAGTGACACAGAATAGTTTCTGCCAAACCACTACTTTATGATATTTGAGTTTCTTGTGGTTATTTTATTTCAAGCTGGCACTTTAAATGAGCAGAACGATGAAATTTAAGAAAGTAAATGTTAGGGACTGTGTGAACTGGAGTGCACATGACCCTTCTAAATACATGCACATGTTTTAAATTGCTACACTATGTGGATTAAACAAAGCAGGTCAGAGTTCAGCTACATTGAGCCAGGCTGTCATTTTATAGCCTTTGGTTATGCTTTTGGGAAACAGTAAACTAAAGAAACCAGCAGGTAAGATATGTGTCATAATCCAAGAGCGGTATTTTTCTGTTGTCTTTTGACTGAGACAGATAGATACAGATACAAATGTACTTCTTTGTCCTCTTCTATCCTAGTCTTTTCTACTCTTAGATGGAATACATACAGTTTTCTGGAGTTAAGTGAAAATAGAGAAGTGAAACATCTTACCGTAGGTCTTAGTTGTCTGTGCCTTTCTTCTTCACTGGTATGCTTCTTCTTAGCTCCTGACTACGGTTTTTCTTCTCTTATGCACCAGGCTTCTGTATACAGTTTTTACTCTTGTTTTTTTATCACACTAAGAACAAGAAAGACCACCTTTCCCTATGCTATAAAGAGATATTACCTTTCTGGAGGGAAGTTCAGTAACTTATGTCAAAAGCACTATGAAAGGATATATCCTTTGACCTAACAATGTTGTATCTGGGAATTTATTGCAGTGAGACAATTGCCCACAGATGTATGTACAATAATGTGTCTAATGTTTTAGATAGGAAAAGATTAGAGGAAACAAATGCCCTACATTGGGGATTGGTTAAATATTTTATGTCATCATTTTTGGAGGGTGGGATCCAGAGATTTAATTAATTATGTTTTAATCCAAATTTTCTTGTTTGTAAAATCTTTTCCAGTTAGAATTGTCACAGTGAGCATATATTGTCTGATTGTTACAGTGAGCAGTAAAGTTCTGTTGGGGTGGGAAGGGGAAGAGAGCTAGGGAGGAGTAACTAGCCATTACAGTACCCTACCGTCATTACCTAAGGTTCTCTTCTTACAGAGCAGACATTTTTAAAAGACCTGCTTGTGCCTAAGATACATACCATCCGCATTTATAAGTACAAATTAATAAAATCTCTGTCTTCAAGGAGCATCACTTCCTTCCATTCGCTGGTGGTGCCTTTTTAGATCTTCATTTGGGATATAATCCCTTTCTTTTTAAATTTTATTTTAAAGATGTGGGGTATAATTCAGGGTTAGGTATACAAATGTTTACCATGCAGGCACCCTTGCTGATGAGGTGTGGCCCTCCCTCCCCTGGCAGTTTCCCTCAACTGCCAATCCCACCCCGCTTCCCCTAGCAGTTTCCCACTACTCCCAATCCCTTTCTTATAGTATGATCATTGTTCCAGGTCCGCTGATGATTGAGAACATATGGTACTCTGTTCTTTATTTCTGTGATAGATCACTGAGTATGATAGACTCTAAATCCATCCAAGTTGCTGTGAAGTCCGTATGTTTGTCTTTCTTTATGGCTGCATAATATTTCATTGTGTATATGTACCACATTTTTAAAATCCAGTCCAGCTTCAGTGGGCAGCATGGTTGTTTCCATGTTTTTGCTGTTGTGGGTATAATTCCTTTCAAGTAGTGAGTCCACATTTCTGTAGAGTAATTCTTTGTTCCTTAATTCTACTTCAAGGGTCTCTTGTTGTACTGCTGAAGACCATCATTTCTAAGGCAAAAGGCAGGTCTCTCTTGGGTTGATCAAAGCTGGCTTTTGGTAGTATCAAAGCTCTGATTTCTGCCCATTGACAGTCTATATAGCAAATATAGAACTTAGATTTCAAATGTCATGTTTTTAGGTTGCTTTTAAATTACTTTCTTCTTACTACTAAAGTAAGTGCAAATACATTATGTTCTGAACTCCTTAGTATACATCCACTTTAATATTAAATGACCTTTCAGTTCAAGGTATCATCCTTTGTTCAGGTTGTCATAGTATAAATGAGTAATTGTAGTAATGAGTATATACAGTTTAGTCTTTGATTATGATTCTGTTTACTTAAAAACAAAGATTGACTAATTCATCATATTGCATGAATGTTTCGTGATTACTTTCTATAGGAGTGTATCAGAACCAATAGAGGCACCTGCATAGTTTTAAAAAACATATTCAGTATTATAACACAACTAAGAAAGAGTATAAAATTTTTTTATTTAACAGAAGGGCACATTGATTTTTTTTCTTGAGATTGAGAAACATCAACATAATGATTTAGAGAAGTAGCATAATCAAAACTTTTAATAAAATGTTTAAACTCAATATAACGTTGAAACATTTTCAAAGTTCTGCCAGATGGAGCCATATAAACATGAAGCTCAATATTTTATTTTAACAGTTGATGTTCTTTGAATGCAATTTTCAGAATAAAAATAAGTAGGCTGGGCGCGGTGGCTCATGACTATATTCCCAGCACTTTGGGAGGCAGAGGTGAGAGGATTGCCTGAATCCACGGGTTCAAGACCAGCCTGGGCAGTTGGCAAGACTTCATCTCTACAATAAACCAAAAAATTAGCTGGGCATGGTGGCGCATGCCTGTAGTTCCTACTACTTGGAATGCTGAGTTGGAAAGATTGACTGAGCCCAGCAGGTCTAGGCTGCGGTGGCTGTGAGCATGCCACTGCACTCCAGCCTGGGCAACAGAGTGAGACTAACTCAGAAAGGAGGAAATGTATAAAATTGAAAAGGGGTGAAAAACTGCATATGTATTTATAAAACTATATTCCTAAGTGTGATCAGAAAGAAACTACTTTGCACTTACCCCAGCAACTTTCTCAGCCACCGGTAGCACGTAGATGAATTTGCATAGAGAGAGAAAAAGAGAGGGGAAAAAAAATTTTTTGTACTTGGAGCTATTCTAAGAATTAAATTTACCTCTTTAGTTCACAAATTATCTGGGATGTAATATCTACTATACTTGTCATTCAAAAACCATTTATTGGGCCAAAAAATTTGTGTGATGAGTATTATATCTTAGAATATCCCTGCCTTAGAATCACATCCCTGAAAATCTTCCTCTTGCTGGTATTTGACCTGTCAAATTTTTCCCTATGTGACATTTCATGTACCTTAAATCTTCTTAAGTTTCTGAAACTTGAATCAGTTCATAGGTTAGCATTTTCCAAAGTTTTTTGTAATATTAACTTGGTGAGAGTCTCCTGGGGAAGGGGAGGTCATATAAAAAGATTCTATGTTTAAAGAAATTGTCGGTTCTGATTACGTCCCCCTCTTCAAAATTGACACTTCATTTTAATATATTAGAGATTGGGAACCATCAGGAACTTGTTTAATCCTGTATTTTGCAAACATTTGAACATCAAATTTCCCTTACCCCATTCTTTGAAATGAAATCAAACTTTGGTGAATAACCATCAAAATAGCACTTACCAGAGGGCCCTTTGGGTGAGGGGGATGTTGTAACTTGGTTTTATCTTGTTTTCCACCTAATAAAGGAAAGAAATTGAGTTTTTTAAATGGTAGGTGGATTGGCTCTGGCATCCTTATGCAGTCCCTGTGCTAGTCAGTTGGTTTTCGACAGAAGAGTGGGAAGGCACAACACAGAGGGCTTGAGTGTGCTGCCCTCAGGCTTTCATTTGCCTTCAGCTCTTTAGCATTGGTGTCAAATTCAAGGATTATAGATGATAGTATCTCATATTGACTAAACACAATCTCAAAAAATGAACAAATGGCTTTAAAAGATTCCTGCGAAGAAACTGTCAATGATAGATAATACTAATAAAACCAACATACGTGAATAAGAAAGTGAAAAAACTGGCACTTCTCTTGCTTCTAAAATGGTCTTTTTATCAGTCACTCTATGAGGTGAAAACAGTGATGATGTAACCAGATCTGACAAGGACTTGACCCTTCTAAAAAGGAAGTTATGAGTATCATTTTAAATACGGCTTGTCATGCCCTGTCTTTAATGATGACTCAGTTAGCATCTATCATGGAATCAAAAACAGCTCTAGCTATGAATACAAAATAGATGGGTTGGATTGCAAGGGGGTACAAGATCAGGAAGCCACTGCTGTGGAAGGAGCTCCTGCAATTCAAAAAGGAAAAAAATCTCCCTGTCTTCTACTGTCATTCTCCCATTGGCAGAAACCCAGCTGGAGACTAGCTAGCAAGGGATCTTGGAAATGTAGCCTGCAGGCCTGCCACCACCACCACTGTGCAAATAACTGGCACAGTGACCCTTGACCTTTGTGGGTACCTTAAGTTATATTAGGTGTTGCTGGCACAAAGCTATCACAGCTTGCAATACATTTAGAAACTAAGCATTCAGAATGTGAAGACTATATATCACTATATTTTGACAAAACAAAAAGGTGTTTTGTAATTTTGACAAATGAAACTAAAATTTATTCTCAAAACTATTGCTTTTTATTTCATCTCTTTTAAATTTTTAATTTTGTTGTCCTTTCTAATATCCACATTAAATACAGCAATTCACTACTACAATTTATAAAGAGATATACACATAGCTCATGCTTTTAAATGTTTTGCTGATAGAGGTGTGTAATCAAAGAAGTATAGTCAGCTGTTGTGTAAGATTCCTTCCAACACCTTCCATCTTTGAATCCAAATAAGGGTGCC